CACAAAAAATGGAAATAAATTCAATTGTGATTTTTCTCTTATCAGATATTTTAAAGAAATATTTTGAAATACAAATAGTAGAAAAGAAATTACACTGGATTTTACTTTATTTTTCTCAATTAAAATCTTCCATGTTACTCTTTAAAAGTTTGATTATTTTAGAGGAAAAATTAATGGAATCAGAAACATTTTTAGCTTTTTATGATGGCACAACAGTTTTGCTGATGTATTTTCAGGCAAAAAAATAACATTCTCTTTCTCAACTTTCATGTCAACTTTGTCACATTAAATTTTCAAATACCCTCTTCTCTAGGAAAAATATACTTAGTACATCCAAAATTTTACACTTTCAACATGTAAAATAAATATGATACACCTGTTTTTAAAACATTTACCAAAAACCAGGAAATTATGGATTTCATTGAAATTTTCAGTAATGACTTTATAATGCATCTTTTTGTATTTCTGAGTTTTGTGGAAGTATTTTTTTTTTCCAATATAGTTATACCTCCATTTTACTCATGACTAATCTGTACTACAGAATTTCAAATCTTCCTAACTTTTTCATTTTTATAAAGATAATTCCCCAAACATTTTATTTATCATTAAAAAAAAAATTGTGAACACATCAAAAATACAGCTTGAATTCTTAAGATGTTGGATGTTACTGATACCTAATTTTAATATGCTGTTTTTTTCTTTGATATTGATGAGCAAAAAAATCTCTGTCTATTTATTTGTAAAAAATTGGAGACAAATTTTTACAGTATGATTTTTAAAACTCTTTTGGATCAGCTGGTTGTTGGTGAACGTTATATAAAATATGGATGTATTTGTACAATGTAAAATTGTAAATTGGAGAGGCATTGTGGAGTAATGAGAGCAGCTTGGATTAAAGAATCAGAGAGCAGAATTCAAATTCCAGTTATGTTTAATACTTTCGCTTAAACACTAATACCCTTGGGAAAGGTATGAATCCATCTCTTCTCCTCACAGCTATAGTTAAATAGCAGGACATGCTGGGTCCTCTATCTTTAGGTGGCAACCATTCTAGAAGGAGCAAAAACTTTAGAACCAGCCTGGAAAGGGTAGAGCTCCATCAGGTTCTCTTGCCCAGGAAACACCACACCTACTGCTGCAGCAGTATATGGTGCCCCTTTAACCCTAGAGGGTTATGGGTTTTAAAAAAAGTTGTATAGTTTAATGTCATTTTCAAGTGAACATTTTTTAAATTATTTTTTCATTTTACAAATGTTTGATTATTTTTTATTCTAAAGAAGATTAAAAATAAAATTCTTATGTCCTCTGGCAAAAAAATAACAGCCATCAAAATATTTTGACTAATCTACACATGCTAATAATATTTTGTGTATTTAATAAAGTTAACAATATTAAAAAATACAGATAAAGAAATCACTTGGTAAAGAGGTTGTAACTCACTCAAAATAATATTTCCACAAAGTTTTCTGATAGCAAGTTGTTTAGTCGTGCCATTTCTGTATTTTACTTGATTTATGAAAAAGATTTTTTGAAATAGGAGCAGGTTTGTAAGATAACATACTTGGCATTTGAACTTGTTGACAAGTAAAGATTTAACCAACTGAGGAAAATGTAATTTTGTTAGATTTTTTCAAAAAGTTTGTGATATTTTCACAAAATCTATTTGCTTAATCCTTAAATCTATTATTTTTCTAAAGTGTTTCAGTTTATTTTTCATCAGCATCCAACAAATTTGCAAATTGAACTGGATGGATGTGAGTTTATTTTTTAATACCATGAAAAAAAATTTTAATTCATTTTCACTATTTAAAATTAAAACAATCTAGTGGAATCCTTATTTTAATTTCCTTGGTTTGCTTTCTGCGTTGAGTTGAAAATTTTGTAAACCATCTGAAAAAACTTTTTTAATTGACCATAACATATAAATTATTAGGAACAAATGTAAAATGAAGCCAAAACGAGAGTTTTTCATAGGAAATTATAGTAAACATTAACTATTGTTACTCGGTTTCAAATCTGTACATGAAATATCCTTAGACCTATGAATGTCAGAAATTCATTGAACACCTTATGTATCGGAACACCAAAATGCAATGGAATTTCAAGATGCTCTGATTATATTTAGGATTTGTCATTAATTTTGATCAAGAAACACCAGTGAATTTTCCCATATTTTTCTGAGGGGTTCACCTGTAGCTATCGGTTGACTTGAGGTGTGGACCCATATGAGTGCTGAAAGATTTAGGAACATTTTTATCAGATAGAAAAGTATTCCACAGATGCAATGTGTTACTCTGTACTTTATTCATTTCCTTTGTTTTCACTTCAGAATACTTTTCTCTCATTCCAATGTTTCTATCAAACAAGCATCAGTTAGTTACACATTCATTGACTTCCCATTACAAAATTACTAAAACTTTTGGAATTAAAAGAAAACAGAAATTAATATAACTTTTATAACTAATGATAAATTATGCCACTAGACTCTGTAAATTGTGACACTAAATTCTCTGTTGTGGATTATGTTGCATTTTATGAACAATGAAAGGATATGATTTTTTTATTCCTTCAGTGAAGGCCATCTTGTAAAAATAGGTCTGAAGAATTGTTTTTTAGACTTTCTTCCTTGGCGTCCATGGGTGCCAATCTATCATGTTTGCTATGGATTTCTTGTTCATTTGTGTTTAACTTTTCACTTCATGCTCCCAAAACCATTTTGTTCATTTATTCTCAGTAACTATGCATCCTTGAAAAATTAAATATTTTAAAGCTTAATGGGAAATTCATTGTTGCAGCATAAAATTAGCAAAAACTTTTCAACTGTTTTGGTATCCAAAGCAAAAGAAAAGAAATTGTAGATATGAAAATTATTGCATTTATTCTGATGTCTCGGGTGGATAGGAGCATTTACATATTGAGCAAATTTTGATGGTTAAGCAATGTTGTTTCCTAAACTTTTGGCTACTGCAGCATGTTTAATCTTCACTGGCTTAATATATAGTACATTATTATATAATGACATGTATCCAGTAAAATGTAATCTGATTATATAGATTATTCACTGGCTTTAATATATATTTTATTGCTTTTTGTTTACAGATGCTTTGGCTGTGCAAAAAATCATAATGCATATAAATGTTATTGGGAATTTAAAAGGAAGAAAAGAGCTTTCTTTTTCCATGAAGAACAGAAATATATGCAACATTCTTCAGTTTAAGATATGTATCTAAATATTCAAAAGCATGACAGTAACTAGCAAAAAATCATGTACTTTGTAATATGTGTTATTTTTTTACTTCCCTGCAAAAACAATATTTAGTGCTATTATGAATAAACATTAGAGAGATTCTTGTATTCTTGTACATGTTGCAAATCTATGTACTGAAATTGGATTTACTGTGTCATGGAAAAACACACTGGAGTAAAACCCCATTCTTGTGGAATTTGTGGATCTACATTTTCAAGGAAGTCACATTTGGGGTACCATATGCGTATTCACACTGGAGAGAAACCACATTCTTGTGAAATTTGTGGATCTTCATTTTCACGGAAATCATATTTTGTACGCCATATGCAAACACACACAGGAGAGAAACCACATTGTTGTGAAGTTTGTGGAGCTGCATTTTCACGGAAACCCTATTTGGTAATACATATGCGTACTCACACTGGAGAGAAACCATATTCTTGCAAAGTTTGCAGCTCTGCATTTTCAAACAAGCCAAGTTTGGTGCGGCATGTGCGAATTCACACTGGAGAAAAACCATATTCTTGTGAATTTTGTGGATCTGCATTTTCAGACAAGTCAAATTTGATAATGCATGTCCGAAGACATACTGGTGAGAAACCATATTCTTGTGAAGTTTGTGGATCTGCATTTCCAACGAAGTCACATTTGGTTTGCCATACATATACACACACTGGAGAGAGACCATTTCCTTGTGAAGTTTGTGGATCTACATTTTCACAGAAGGCACATATGTTGAGCCATATGCTAATACACACTGGGGACAAACCCTATTTTTGTGAAGTTTGTGGGTCTGCATTTTCACATAAGTCATATTTTGTATGCCATATGAGAATACACACTGGAGAGAGGCCATATTCTTGTGAAATATGTGAGTCTACATTTTCACAAAAGTCATATTTGGTGAAGCACATGCGTACTCACACAGGAAAGAGGCCATATTCTTGTGAAGTTTGTGGATCTGCATTTTCATCCAAGTCCTATTTGGTGTACCATATGCAAATACACAAATAGGTGATGAAAATGTCAGACAAAGAACATTCTCCCCATTCTTATATCTTGTATCATTGACTTTACAATCACAGGCTAAAGCAAGCAACTTTATCTGCCTTCCCTACTCTAACTATTGTTGTTTATTAAATAAATGATGGAAATGATGCTTATTAAAATTTTAAAAATTAAGTGTCTGCTTCAGACACTTTATTTAAACCCTATCAATTATTACAATTTCATAGTGGCAAAGAATGAATGTTGTCAATACATAGTAATTATTTTGTAATGTATCCACATTTGAATTTTTGCAAATTGCAAGATCATCCTTATTGCATAAGTAAGAATGTTTCAATATTATTTGTCTATACTTGAATGCTTGTAAGCTAGGCTTCATCTATTTAGTAATCATCAGTGCATTTCTTTTGGTGTGTGTGAATTCAATCACATCCTTTATGTAAATTATCTGCATGCTCTATGTGATCTATATTGACACCAGAAAATAATATTTTGGTTGTTTTTGTTTAGTGGCATGTCAACTTCTTTGGGTTATTTAATGCCGAAATCTAAATATTTTGTTCACAATTTTATTTTATTTTTGGAGATAATAATTAATGCATAGTTAGAGGGGGAAGAGGTGGATTCATGCATTTCTTGATGGTATTTGTGCATAACTGGATATAATGAACTGAACATGAATTGGAACTCAGCTCTCTGATTAACAATTTTTAGCCACTATCCACAATGGCACCTGCACATACAAGCTTGCAGCACCTGTTATTTCCAAATGGTCACCCCACTAGGTACTGAACAGGTTTGATTTTGCTTAACTTCAGTGATCATACAGGAACTGGTGTTTCAATGTCATGTGGCCATAAGGCCTTTTCTTTTCTTTTGTTCTGAGACCTATTACATAAAAAAAAATAAAAATTTGAAGGATTTATATCTGAACAATTTTACCATTTTACCAGTAAGGACACTTATATCAAAGTAATCTTCATGTTTTTTTGTTTTTTTCTCATTTCCTAAGAAACTAATTTCTATTACCAAAACAATGATTGAATTATGTTCAACAGGAATTAATGTTTCTTTAATAGTTTGTCCAAGAAAATACAATTGAGATACATTTCAATAAAACCAAGATTTTGAAGAAATTTCTGTCTCTATTATCATTATCTGCCAAAAATTTTTTTCTGTATACAAAGCAAAAACATATTTTGAAATATTTTGTATTTTCATGAAAACCAAAGTAAAATATAAATTGTTTTACTTTGCTTCTCTTTTTCATGTGCATTCCCTTGTCATTCCCTCGGACATATATTACTTATGTTTTCTGTGAACTCACTTGATGTTTTTGATTTTTCAACAATAAAACACCACCAGCCAAAGTTGATAAAACTCAAGCTTGTGTTCAGTCAACATTATTTCACTCATAGCTCTCTTCTCCTGATCTACACCATGAAACAACTTCTGCTTTGGTAGTAAGTTTGATATGCATAGCCACATCTGTTAGGTCACTTCAAATCTACTTCTGTACATTGTGTTTATTGATGTAACTAAATGGTGATCTTAGATTATTTCCTGATGCAAGTAAATGGTGATCTTAGTCAAATTATTTCCTGCCTAGTCAGTACACATTACTTAAAGGCTCAGCAGTTTATTCTTCTTTCACGGCCATTCCAGGGTTGTTGAATAGTTGACTCAAACCTCCTCCAAAGGTGAGTTTTGTACATATATAAAAAACAAAGACAGGTAAGCTGATTTGTCCACTCTGCTTATATTATTGAACTTTGTTTACCTTTCTGTTTTTGTTGCTAATTGATAAAAGTCTCCAAGAATTACTTTAATTCTCTTTGTTTTGCTCTGCCTGTTTTTAGCTAAGCCCACCTTAATTACACTCTAGCTTGTCACACTGTCCCCTACCACTTAACCTAGTGTTTTCTGCTTCTCCTCTTTTTAGGCTAACTTCTAACTGCCCTTTGGTCAGTATTAGTTATATTTTCAAGCAAGATATTAAGGGCCTTCTCAAATAGGGTATTTTACTAATATCTCTTCCTCACCTGCAAAAATTTCAGTTCATTCAAGTAGTTTCACATCTCCATATTGCTTTTATCGGAAATAAACCCTATTTCCAACACAGTTATATATCCACATACATACCATATTAAAACACACCCAAACTTTATTTCTACCCAATAACAGACAATATTACAAACATGCCAAAATGATTCAAAAATAAAATACACAGTTTTAATCAAAGTGTTTATTGGTTAGAAATTAACATCACCATGTGAGTGAAAACTAAAACCCTACTGATGCCTACTTTCAGAAAAAATTTTTTATAAAACTCACAGATTTTGACTTTCAGAGATCAAAGTAATGGCTTTCTCAAAGCTAAACACAGGAGGGCAGAGATATGTGACTGTCACCTCCCAGGGTGTGCTGAAAGAAATGTGTCAGAAATTTTAAACAACAGCTTGGATAGTCAGTGAATCTTTGCTGACAGCCATTTGGCAACTTCAAATGAATTGTCTCCAAGAACAACAAATTAGTGAATTTTCACTAACAATAAAAGTCTTTTTTTGCCCACTGTTTTTTTTTTTACTGTGAAACCAACTATTTAAAGCTCTTTTTAAGCTACAGCTTTTTTCTGTGGACCAACTGTCCCTAGACTTTATCTCAACTAAAGATTATTATTGATACTTTTTAACTCTTTTGAATTCATGTAAATATCTTTGTAAATACAAATGATTTATTTAACAGGCATATCCATGTTTTCTTTATTATTGTTTGAAATTTGAACATACAGATTTTTAATATAAAAAACCTAGACAACCAAATTTCCTACAATAGCAGTTTAAAGAGAGAAGTCCTTTTAACATCATGTCTTGCCTTGTTCTATGTTAAAATTTATATAGGATTACACTAACATTAGCACCTGAAATTGCCTGGTTTCAAAAGAAAGACTTAACATCAGAAGTGCATGAAACTGGGAGCACTACCTCTTGCCCTTGGAAATATGACATGAGATAATCTAACTGTCACATACTTGGTGTGATCTCATTTACAATTCAATAATGGAATATTCTAATATATTAATACAACATTCAATTCTGCCTTGATTATATATAAAATCAAAGATTGGTATATGAGTAGGAGATGACATCAACAAACCAGGTCACATGACTGTTACAATTCACATATGCAAAGTACATTATTACTTGATACTTGAATGAAATATGTTTCCCATACATGCAGAAATCCATCAGCTAGAGTTGGCAGTCAGCCATAGAAACATGAACAGATAAATTGAGGCAACCAGCCACAGTTACACATAGTTGCTATCTATTCCTGACCTAGTAGACTAAATACAGGTAAGCAGAAAGTCCAGTAGAAAACAACTCCATATACCCATCTTTTTTTGATCCTTCATATGACTGGGCTTCTTTTCCCTTACCCTCATTTGTCATTAATGAGCTTTCTCCCAGCTTTCTTATCTAGAATTTTTTTTTATGGCCTTAAGTCAGTTACAAAGCTAATTAGCTGTTTCATAGGTGTAAATGTGACTTCACTTGCATTTTTCAAGATGGTGTTGTCAGTATATTGTTTCCACTATAAGGATCAAAAGATCACATTATTATATCTATATCAGAAGCAATAAAAAGGTGGGAGTAAAATACATTACTTTTAGCAATAGCTATAACATTTCTACTCAACATGTTGTTTATTTAAAGGCATGTGTGATATGCTATAGATTCTTGCACTCATTTCCCATCGTGACACCCACCTGGGAACCCTTCATCTTAAGTTTTATATCCTTTACTTCTAAACTGCACTCCCATCTGTGAAAAGCTACTTCTACTACTCCCTATCACTCAAGTACCAACAAACACCCCTTTTCTTTTATAGCCACTCTCAGTTGTCAAGCCTTCAGACAGTCTGTTAGTAGTATCCGAAACTAAAATTTTATTTTCAATATATCTAAAAACCTTTAATACAGGCAGAGAGAATTTGACCAAACCAAAAGAAATGGTACCAAATTTGTCTTAGCAACAAAGTTATGACCATTCAATTTTATATCTTACCATCTCATGTTACTGAATGAGAAGCCAATTTCAATAGTGTATAACTGATGATACAGGCTTCAGATTAGCTAAAAATCATAAATATAATGCCATATAGGTAGTCTTGAAGTAAAAGAAAGATAATGTTAATGAAATTAATAATTACTATATCTGTCCAGCCTACATAATGGGGAAAATTGCATTCTCAAAAATAAAATAGTTAAGACATGACACAGAAGGACAATATTAACTGTTCATATAAGTTTCATTTCAACAGTTAATGCCTTGCAACATCTTACTATGATTCATAGCAGAACAGAGATGAAGCTCATTTTTTTCATTAGTACATCAAGAAAGAAATCCTATTTCCACCTTGTAAAAACAACCAGAAACACAGTTTGACAGTAGATCAAAAGTATACCATCCTGAACTTGCCATAAAAATGTATCCATTGCAAATACATGTCTGAAACTTTGAAACTCTACTAATTTTGGGATGAGGAATTCAATAAAATATTTCTCTGTAATATGAATACCTTTTCTTATACATGTATCTAATTTTGGAATATTTTGTCAAATTATGTAATTTTTAATTTGTCAAAAAGGGATAGTAATGACCACAAAACTTAAAAATTTATTTCATGAAATGAATCATTGGTCAGTCCTTCAAACAAATGCTTATTATAAAGCTTTAAACTCATCTTCAAACTAAAAGCACTAAAACGAATAAAAATACATTTATTAGAACTGATGAAAAAGACTTTCTGGACAGAATAGTCCTCCTGCATATCCTCTGTAACAGGGCACTGACTCTGTTTTAAACAGAGTCAGTGCCCTGTTACAGAGGATTGCATGAGATTTCAGAATGGTGATTTGAAGAGACTTATTGGATAATAACTATTAAAATCCTCAGAGTAGGTTGAATGTTTATGAAAAAAGAAGTGGAGTAAAAATTATGTTTTGTAAACTAAGATATAATTTTTGAACTGTTCCAAGAAGAATCAAACCCAGAATTAAGTAGACCAGATTTAGTAAAACTGAGCAAAACCAAAGTTCCCAACTCTATCAACTTCCCACAGATAAGAAGAAGAAAATGTGATAATGTGTTTTCTTAGTTCCTTCAGTCCTGAGAAATTAGTTTTGAAAGTTTATTTGCATTATACTATCTGTCCAAAATGTGTGTTCTTTCAAATTATTATAGACAAAGCAGAATTTTGAAATTAAATTTGAAGATTTTTTTTAAAGGTGACTATCTACCCATAATGTGTGATCAAAGAAAAAAGAATGATCCAAATTATTCTAGACAAAGAACAAAACATTTATTTTTTTTTAATCCCTAAGATTGGGATCTGTTTATGTTGATCACCCAAGAACACAGTTATCTTTACAGAAAGATATCTAGGAAGATTCTAAACAAAAAGTACCATATGGTTTTTGTTTTTATGTTTAACTAAGATTAAGACTAAGATCTTGTATCAAAAGATACATGATCACCTAAGTATGTATCCTGAATGGCACATAACTGACTGAAGATTAAGACAGTTGAATGAAGAAATTAGATATATCAATGTCATTTTTGGGTGGGGTCATTTATATAAATGAGAACTCCCCAAGCAAACAGATGGGAAATTGAAATTAGCCAACAAGGAGTCGTCAGACATGAGAAACACACCTGCATTTTCAGTACACTGAACAAACACACAGCCACACAAATGATAGTCAACTGTTCACCGATTTTATAACATTTACTGCTAAATTACCAAGTAACCATCTGGCAAGGAGAAAGCTTTTTCAGTTTTTCTTTATATTC